AATATTAGGCTTTAATAGTTTCGTGGACAGTAAAAGAATCCAGCAGTTTCTGGGCCAAGAAAGGGCAACCACTTCCACCCACCCACCCCTCCAACAGAGAGAACATCTTTTTCTTATTTTTTTTGGTGTTGGTGATGTTTTAGTTTCCGGGGTTTCTCATCCAGTCAGTCCCTGCGCCTTTGGAAGGTGTGTTCACCCCACTGTGGTGGCCCCGTTTCTGAGGGAGACGGAAAACAGCCCTGAGGAGGAACGGGAGAAGGGTGGGCTGAGGGGCAGGGAGGACAGACCACGGGGAAGGAACCAGACGAATTTTGCTCACGTCTCAGTGAGCAAAACTTAACTCTGTTTCTTAACTTCTTAACTCTGTTTCTGAAACACATGGGGGGGGGGACCCACTCTGGGGTTGCTAATTTTAAAACATGGTGCCTCGTGCCAAGTGCTTGGGGTTTCAAAATTCAGGAGCCTCCTTCCCTCTGACAGGCGGAGGAACCATGAAAGGCGACTCATCCTCCCTGCGTTAGGCGTCCCTGTCCCTAATATTCGTTCTCTGCCACGCACATCAGGAGATCAATTCCCAAATCAAAGTCAGTCAGACCTCGGTTGGCTCCCGCGCTCCCGTAGGTCACTATTCAATGCTGCCTTCGGAGCGCCTTTCCAGGCTGAGGCTCCTCTCAGCCTCGTCCCACCGGTGCTCCTGACCCTCATCCTCCCTCAGAGGCTCCTAGGTGACCTCCAGCTTCCAGCCAGACCCTTCCGAGCCCAACTTCCACACTCTTTGTCCTTGATGCGTGGCACATGTGTTGACACTCAGTCTATGTGCCATGGTGAACGAAGGATGAATGGGCCAGTAACGCCAGTGTGTCCGACGTGGTTTGTGTCACTATATTCAAGCTTCATCCATACAAGCATGTCAGTGTATCAGCACTTTATGGGGAGATAACGCCCTAGGGAGTAGGAGTGAGGGCAGTGAAAGGTGGAGAGGGAACGAGGACGACCAGGTACAAGGGGACACGCAGCCAGCCACGGCCTGACAGCAAGCGTCCGCAGCTCTGTTTTGTGGAAGGCATGTCCTCTACGGCATCCCCTGCCCCGAAATCCTTGAAGCCCACCAACAGCAGGGAGAGGAGGTGGCCTGACGTCTGTTTCCCACCACCTCCCTTTAGTCAGCAGCTGCTCTAGAAAGGGTTAACGCGCCCACGTGTCTGCACCCAGTGGCCTCAGGGAAGCTGCTGCTCCTGGCCCGTTGAAACCGGCTGTGGGACTCGGGCCACCTGTCACCTGCAGCACCGACCTGTCACCTGTAGCAACCACTGACCTGTCACCTGTAGCAACCACTGACCTGACCAACGACGTGGGAAAGGGGCACGCCCTGCCAAGGCCACTCGGGCCAAAGAGACAGGCGGGAGGCCAACACCTGAGATGGGCAGGTCGACATGACCGCGTCAGTCTGGGGGACGCAGAAAGCGAACAGCAGGCTGTCGTCACCCACCGTGCGGGTGAGCCGAGGGTCTGAGTCTGTCCTCACTCAGAGCTCTTGCATTTTTGTCATTCAGGAATGTCAGTTGGGAGGCACACAGTGAAAAAGTGGCTGTGGACAGTATGGAAAGTGCTCCCTACACACAGAGTCGTACCCTCAGATGGGCTGCAAACTGCCAGGACACCCCGTCTGCATTCTGTTCTCTCCTTAGATGCTGGGGTGTGGGACAAGGCCTGAGCTCGGGGGAGCAGGGGGCCGCTGATCCCAAGTTCAGGGAGAGAAGCATCTCCCAGAGATGCCCTCCTGTCCCCTCTGGCCCTTACTCCTTTCCCTCCCTTCCAGCCTCTTTCCCTCCCTGCCCCGGACCTTGAAGGAGTCTGGAGGGATGCGATGTGCCCCACACGCGACTCAGAGGGATAACACCACAGTCCATCCTCATGCCCGTCCCGTCCTCCTTTTCCTCTCTCTTGTTCCTTTCCCCTGAATCTTCCTTGATCCTCCTCCTAATTATGACACCGCTGATGAGGGAGAGAAGACCGCGTCCCTGCCTCGGGGCTCAAGGAGGCCGACCCAGGAGATGAACACGTCGATGCTCAATGGAGAAGGTTGCAAGGCGTCAAGGAGCCCGGGAGATGCCGTGTCGGGTTTTTCTTGTGTCGCGTAGTGTGTGTGACTGCGACGGTGCGCGTGGGTCATGCGTGTACTGTGTGTGGGGTGCGCGTCTGGGTGCTGTGCGAGTGTGAGGAAGAGAGAGGGAAAGATAGTGCAAGCATTCCAGCGTGTGCATATACTACACTTTATTTTCTTCTTGGTGGGCTGTGGCTAGATTTTGCATTTGTTGAATTGTGCTGCTGGGAACGTTTCTGTACACGTTTGGCTACACAGGTTTACTGGTAATTTATTGATGTGAAGGAATCACCCCAAAACGAGTGACTTGGAACAGTAATCAGTTATTTGTGCGTGTTTCTGCGATGCGGACCAGGCTCTGGAAGCTTCTGCCAGCCTCACCTGCGTTCCTTCCCGCAGGGGTGGCCAGCTGGGGGCCGGTGGCCCAGGTGGCCTCGCTCGCACTGAGGCGGTCATCGGGGCCGGCCCGCTGGGACGCCGTGTGTCCCTGCCGGTGGGGCACCCCGCATGTCTTTACAGGCAGCAAACGAAGGTCCACAGGGCCTTGCAAGTCACACACGGCCACTCCGGCTGCGCTTTCTTGGTCAAGGCAGGTCTGCATGGAGGAGGGGCGAGGGTCTTCGCAGGTCTGTGCTGGGGAGGGAGGACATCGTGGCCGCGCTTCTCAGTCAACCGCAGACGGAAGCCCGCGCGGAGTGTCTGGGGCGGAGGCTGGTTTCCGCCCCGCCAGCGGGTTCCTGCCGCCTCGAATCCTGGTCCGACCCTGGTCTCGGAGCCACTGGTCTAATTTTAGCCGCGTCGGATTACACAGCATGTGTAGTGGCCCGTTGTGCCTTAATTTGATTTTCTCTGCCTACTAATGAGGCTCAGCACCTTTTTATGTGCTTGTTGGCAGTTTGTGGGTCCTCTTTTGGAGGAAGTGATCTGTGGGAGTTCTTTATATAGCCCGCGCCTGAGTCAGCTGTCATCTCCCTCTGCCCTCCCGCTTCGGTCTTGAGTGATTCTCCTCTTGATTAAAAAGGAAGTGGCATCTGAGCCGAGGTCTGCGGGACGATGAGTCAGGAACGAAGAACGGGGAGACCTTGCAGTTAGGGGCACGAGGGGTGCCGAAAGGAATGAGCAGGCGGGCTTCTGAGGGAGACGGCGTGCACAGGGGACGGAGCAACAGCAGGGGAGCTGGGGGGCTGGGCTGGGGACCAGGGGCCTCTGAGGGAGCAGGAGGCCGTGTTTTCGCTGCTCACTCCCTCTCCTTCATTTGTGGCGTGGAACCTGCTTCATTATGTCCAGCGTGCGGGGACGCACACACCTAACCCACAGACCTTCCTAAAGGGATCTTATTATAGGTCCTTTTTATAGGTCCTTATCAGGCCCTTCTTAGAGGGGATGGTGGAAAAAGAAGAAAAAGGGCATACCTCACGCACACACACACCCACACATGCACACCCACGTGCACACACACAGTAGGAGCCCAAAGGAGGAGGCACAGAGATGGGGAGACAGCGGCCATGCGGTGTCCCTGGGCGGGAGCGTTTCTACAGAAGATCTTGGGGGACCATGAACACACCGCAGCACGACCCCCTGAGATCTAGCCCTCAGGACAAAGCCTTGTTGGAAGCAGAGGGACACTGGACGTTTAACCGCAGTCAATTCTCTGAAGGGAGTGGCTTCCCAGAGGCGTGTGCATGTGCGTGTGCGTGTGCTCGTGCCATGCACGTGCGCGTGTGCACGTACGAGGAGAGCTCTTCTTCGTTGCAACCTTAAGTGTGGTTTGGGCTTTTAAGAAAATTGCAAGTACCTGTTAACGTATTAGAGACTGATAAAGGGTGTGGGTCCGTCTGTCAACCTCAGCCAAGGAAGGCTTCTGACTTCCCATTTAACAGAGGGTCATAAACTGATCAGAAACGGCTCAGGGCAGTAGGGTCGGGGGAGGAAAGATGTGCCTTAGGTGGGGAGCCAGGACCGTCAGCTCAGCAGGAGCCTGGGGGACGGAGTCCCTGTGGAGGGGCTGTGCTGGCACAGACGTGGGCCCGGGGGGGGGGGCCCACCTCTCCTCATCCGCAGACGGCCTCTCCAGAGACACCGGGTTTGGGGGCTCTGGGTGCAGGAACTCAGGGAGGGACATGGGGCCAGGTTTGGCAGGGCTCAGCCGAGGATGCTCTGGTGTGGGCAGGTGTGTGATCCCGCCCATCCTCTGCCCTGCACCTGTTCCCGGGGTGGGGGGGAAAGGGGTGCGGCATCATTCTGGAAGACCAGGAGGACGATGGGATTCTGACACCTGCTGGAAAAGTAGAGACTACAACCCGGATGGGGGTAGCGAGATTGGTTTTGCTTTATGATGATTTTTGCCCCCTGATTTCTCCCCTCTTATAGCAGTGACGCATGCTTATGTCAGGAAGTACGGCAAGGAGAAGATGAAAACCGTCCATCACTCTATCACCATTCTGGCGTGTTTCCTGCTGGAAGAAGAATGGGGTGAACAATTATTTACGAGGTGACCCGAGAGGCAGCCTCGCTGCTCGATGCTGGGGCTGCGGCAGCGAACCAGGCAGACATGGGCCTTTCTGCGTGGGGAAGCCAGCGTGGCCCACAGGCACGAATTGTGGTTTCCTCCATGACATTTGAGGTAAGTGACGGCCGTCTGTCTTGCTTACCGCGCGCTGGGCTTGTGTCTGCGGCTTCGCCGTGGGGAAGGGTTCTCGTACGTGCTCTCGTTCGACCTCTGTGCTGGCTCTGTGAGGGGCGGCCACCGTCCCCCGACCCCACACACACGACAGACGGTTGCGGACGAGCTGGGTAACCTGGTGGGATCCGGCGGCACGTGGCTCCGCACCAGCCACAGCACTCTGGCTGCCTGCAGAGCACACATCATCCCTCTCCCTTCTCCCTCGCTAGGTCTGATCGCCGTGGTGGCCCGGAGGCACTGCCGAGGCCAGGATGATGGACGACGACACGGAGCTGAGGACGGATGGGAACTCCCTCCTGAAGGCGGTGTGGCTGGGGAGGCTCAGGCTGACCAGGCTCCTCCTGGAAGGGGGCGCTTACATCAACGAGAGCAACGACAAAGGGGAGACGGCCCTCATGGTGGCGTGCATCACCCAGCACGTGGACCAGCAGAGCACCAGCAGGCCCAGGATGGTGAAGTACCTGCTGGACCAGAGGGCAGACCCCAACATCCAGGACAAGTCCGGCAAGACGGCGCTCATCCACGCCTGCATCCGGAGGGCGGGGGGCGACGTGGTGTCGCTGCTTCTGGAGAACGGCGCGGACCCCAGCCTCGAGGACCGTACGGGGGCTTCAGCCCTGGTCTACGCCATCAACGCCGATGACAAGGACGCCCTGAGGCACCTGCTGGACGCCTGCAAAGCCAAAGGGAAGGACGTGATCATCATAACAACCGCGAAGTCGTCGTCAGGCACCAAAACCACCAAGCAGTATCTCAACGTCCCTCCTTCGCCCGGAGGGAAAGACCGCCAGTCCCCGCCACTGTGCACGTCGCCCTCCGACATTGAACTGAAGGCTCCAGGCCGGGGCGCCCCACCCACGGAGAGGGAGGAGGACTTCTTCAGCCTCCAGTCAGGGTGTCTGAGTGCCTGCAACATGGCCAAGGCTCTCAACGAGCCCGGGTCGCCCCTCAGGAAAGTGGGGAACCTCAAGCGGGCCCGCCTGCCCCAGCTGAAGAGGCTGCAGTCCGAACCCTGGGGCCTGATTGCGCCGTCCGTGCTGGCAGCCAGCGCACGTCAGGACGAGACCCACGGCCCCAGCCCGGACAGTGAGGTCATCAAGAGCTTTAGCGATGTGTCCTTCCCCAAGAGGGGGCCGCTCTCCAGAACCAGCAGCATCGATGGCAAAGACCCCACCTTCTTCCCCACCGTTGCCGAGCAGGTGCAGAAGATCATGGCCTCCCCAGGACCAGCATCCTGGAAGGCCGCCCATGAGAAGGGTCAGGCTTCCCACCCCCGTCTGGCCCGGAGAGGAACTCTCCCCATCGACCAGGACAAGGTGGGTATCGGTCCAGCAGGCCCCCCTGCTCTCAAAGATCCCGTGTCCCTCAAGTGGCTGGAGAGTGATTTGCACGACTTAGATTTACAGGCTGGGGCCGACCAGCTCAGCTCGGTCTCCCTGGAATCGAGCAAAGGGCCCTTGGACAGGAAGAGGCTCGACGGCTCCCTCCTGGCTCTCTTCCACGGCTCGCGGGAGTCCCTGGATGCCAAGCCCAGCGCGTCCCCCAGCTCGGCGCGCCGCCGGCCGCCGCCTCTCCTGGAAAGGCGAGGTTCTGGAACTCTGCTGCTGGACCGAATTTCGCACACCAGGCCCGGCTTCCTGCCGCCTTTAAACGTCGGTGGGAACCCACCTGTCCCTGACATCAGATCCAGCAGCAAACCGTCTTCTCCACTCGCGAGCGGCTTAAAATCCATGGTTCCCGTTGCGCCCAGTTCACCGAAGAGAGCAGACTTGAGAGGCAGACGGGCGCTCCTGCGGAGACACTCCATGCAGGCCGAGCAGATGAGGCAGCTGTCTGACTTCGAGCAGACCGTCACCTAGCAGCGCCCGGCAGGCTATAAACCACAGAACTCCGCGCAGTTACTGGAAGCCACCCTGGTCTAGAGCAACAGAGGCGCGCGTCCCGTGGGTCCCGCTGCGCTGGTGGCGGGGACGGAGCCGGGCATTGCTTCCCTGCGGAAGGGGTCTCTGGGTTTATGCAGTGTTCCCTGCAAAGGGCTCAGGGTAATTGGGTTCGAGACACAAAATCACCGAAACCAAAAAATTCCCCACGGTTCTCCCTTCGGGGTTGGGAAGGAACAGCAGCAAGTACAATGATCCCGGCCCCCGACCCCAGCTCCCCGCCACCAGGCAGGCGAGAACGGAGTCCCGAGACGGTATTTGGATCACGCCCTCGGTAATCCATCTATAAAGTGCCTACAGAGACGATGAGGCTTTCACATTTGTCGGGATGTGCAGGAGCTCAGTGCACCCGGAGCTCGGAAATCCCGCAGCTGTGTTCCCTTCCAAGCAGCAGAAGCGGAGCTCCCCCACTCAGAGAGGCCCCGCAGGTGGGCGCTGTCCAGCACCGGGAGCCCCAGACCCTTCCCGCCCCCGCCACACCTGTGTTCATGCACACCTGCAGGTGTGTAGCGGGTCCCCAGCGATGTGTCCCCCGAATCCCGATGGGCCGTCCTTGGGGGGCGCCTCAGAGACGCGGCCTGCCCCCTGCCCTGACACTAGCTCTGTGTTGAAATCTTGCGGGGGCTGTTAATGAATTTGGAGTTGAATGTGATACAATTTCCAGAACAGACCTTTTTCTTGCTTGTTCTTGAGAAAACTTGATGAGACTCCCCAAAGCCAGGACGATAATAACGGTGGGACAGGCGTGGGGTAAGAGCACAGGCGGTGCTTCTCAGGACGGAGCCGTGGGATGGCCTTGAGTTCTGTAGCCTGAACAGGGGAAGGGGTGCCAGCCGTCCTTTCAGCTGCTGCCGGCCAGGTAATTGAAGAAAATTCCGGTTTCTGCTGTGTCTGAACTATCCCCATGATGGGAGGTTTGTAGAAATGACTGGAACGACCCTTTCCAGCCACGTTGCCCCAGCCGAGAAGGGAGGCAGACACTCGGCACATCTGCAGTGCTGGAGGCACATTTCGGGCGAGGGCTCCTGGTTACCTCCCAGTCATCTTCCTCTCCTGCTGCCCAGATACGCCGGCTCCAGGGTTAGAAGAATGCAGTGGTCCCTGGGGGTTGCGTACCACAGAGGAATGAGTAAAGGCTCTGAGATTGGGGTTGCATCCCTCTTTTCATCATTTACCAGCTTTGTGACTTCTCGAAGCCTCCACTCCCTCATGGGCAAAACGGGCTTGGCAGTGGTCTACCTTGGAAGGGTGAGGGGGAAGGACGGGCCTGCTGCTGGGCCTGGCACAGACCAGTGACTGGACGGGAGGAGCTCATTCTGACTGACACCTTCAGACTGCTGAAGCTCCCACATCTCAGATAATACATAATATTCTGCACGAAATGGATTTCAGTGCTGCTGAGGAACTCCAGGGTCTCCTTGACACCCCCGGGGATGCCGTGGTACTGAGCCGTCGGCACACTCGTCGAGGAAAATGCCTTCCGCCACGTCGGCTCTCCACATCACAGCATTTCCATCACGACATCTGCTAGGCGGTTGTCCGAGCACCCCAAACAGAAGCGCGGACGACGCTTACAGGTAAACCGAAAGTTTACTTTTTCATCATTCCTTCCGGGCGGGCCCGTCAGTCCTCAGCCCCCACACTGCTGAAGCTTTAGGCTGGGTGAGGCTTTGCCGTGGGGACTGTCCTTGCGTGGCAGGAGGCTCAGCGGCAGCCCTGCCCTCTGCCCACCAGACACCAGTAGCACCTTCCTCCTGGTTGCGACCACCAGAAACATCTCCAGACATGGCCAGACATCTCCTGGGCCCACACCGCCTCAGCTGACCACCGCGGCTCTGGGAGGAGGATAGCGTGCCTGGAAGAAATCAGTCATGACCAGCAAAGCTACACAGAGGTGTGGGTCTGGCTGCGTCAGCCCTCCCACTGACTTGAAGCCAATCGAATTCTGCTTTAGTAGGATGACTGATCGATCGGTCCATAACTCAGGCCCTCGGGGTTCTTGGCAAACACATCTGTGGGAGTGCTGGTGCCCTTTTGTACTTTGCGGGGAGGGAGGAAAATCACGTAAGCTAGTGAAAACCTAGGGCTCACAAACTTGGTTTAGGGTGAATAATGCATAAGCTTCTGGGACCACTGAGTCACGAACAGTTCTTACCAAATGGACGTGACTGCAGGCAAGGACACGTTCCCACACATTAGAGAGACTCATACGGACATCCCTTGTTCTCAGCAGCTCATTAACTCCTCCCCCCCCCACACTCACCCACTGTCCTCACTGCCAGCAAAAGCTAGACTCTGCTAGTAGATCTGGAATAGTCCATCCGTCCCACGCATGCCCACAGCAGGAGCAGCAGGGACTCCTGGCCCGCCTCTGTCCCTGGTGACCTGTCCATTGGCCTTTCTCCGGACGGTACGTCCTCCATCCCTGTTTGACGATGCATTCGCTGCATTAGGCTGGGTTCCAAACTAGTACGACCACAACACTTCCTCACGGTCAGTGCAGCAAAAAGCGATTTTGTCCACATCAACGAACTGCACAAGGATGCTTCTAAAACGCACATTTTAGATTCCACCGTGCTTTCTAGATCAGAGAGGCGCTTCTCTTTTCCGAATCCTAGTGTCACTACCGGAGTTAGCTGCAGATTGTAGTTAAGACTTTCTGGAATGCTTGTCAAAATATATTCTAGAACAGGAGCCTGAAGTTTAAAAGTCTGGAACTTTGGTTTAGCTTCTAGACACCCCGAAGCCGGTTTCTGTTTGTTTATTTAGACCTGTCATAGAGTCTCTTAGAATTTCATCAGATAAACGTGTCCTGGCAAGGGCAGGCTGTGTCTGACCCTTCCCCTTGAACTCCTCCTCCTGCTTGAACTGGTTCTCTGTGGACTCTAGTCTCAAGCTGATGGCGAGCTCAGAGATGTGTCCACATGCAAGTAACGGAACCGTCTAGATATTTCTAACATGTCAATAAAAGATATATGGCAATCCTTCAATAGCACGCCCTTTTTTGTAGCGATATCTCCATGATAAATATCACCTTTTCCTTATGACGGGGTCAACGTGACTGCCTGGGAATATTAGCCTTAGCAGACACCCCAATTTCATGCACGCATAATTTTACAAATTAATTTTTACTTACACAAGTATTATGGTTTCTCTCTTGGTTAAACAAGAGGCAGAGGATGAGAAGGTGCATTTCCATGGCGAGAGGTGGGTCTCTGTACCCTGCCCCCCTCTGCTTGGGTTTCCTGAGTGGGGAGGGGACTGCGCCTGCCACACGCTGCAGTCACGGGGCCTCCCTCCTTGGGCCCAAGGTCTAACGTCGCTGAGTGTTAACATACGCTCCTGCTTGAGGACAGGGCATAGGTATCAAGTGGACGGGCCCTCGTCTCTTAGAGTCAGGGATTTGTGACTCACATTTCATCCGCACCCCGATCCAGTGCAAACCATACCTTTAGGTTCTCCCTTGGGCGACTGGAATGACTTAGGTTAACAAAAATAAAAAAGGATAAGGACTAGTTTCAGTATGTCTCTTCCCCCACTGTCTTCAGGAAAGGCAGGTCCCCATTGTTTCTGAACCCCTAGAGGAGAGATTATGAGGGACCCTACTGGGGGAGGGGGAGGAGAAGCTGATGGGACTGATGGGGGAGAAGGGATGGGGGTTGAGGCCACAGGAGTCCACCTGGAGGGGGAGGGTGCACTCCGAAGACTTACAGAAGGTCAGAAACTTGGGGTCCCTTGAGTGGAACTTGCCTCCTCCCAGAGCAAAACTATGGAGGGGAGAGGCTGCATGGTGCATCCCGGGAGGCGAGGGTCAGGCTGGGCAGGAGGACATCAGAGCTGCCTGCCCAAAAGGAACACGGCAGCTCGGACAGTGCACACACGTCGGCATGGCGGTGAGCCCAAATGCTGTGCGCTGCTGGTACTGCCAAAGAACAGGGCCGGAGAGCTCCTCCGAGACCGAGATGGACATTCTTATTGTCTCTGTTAAGGTTGGTGGTGGGTGGGTGGGGGGGGACAAGACCCATTTTAGATTGATTTAGAAAAGTAAAGAAGCGTGATGCTTCTTACATTCAATGGTAATGAAATGAGATTGATAGCACTCCTATAGTCCATGGTGTGCACAGCGTAGGAAGGAAAAAACCCACATCACACTTGGAATTTGCCGGGGGGAGGTCATCAAGAGTAAAGAACAGACTTCAGGACACAAGACGGAGGTCACTGTTTTGCAGCTGTGCTAATACCAGATCAAGTCCACAGATCCGACACCAGCTGGATAACTGTGGAAGGGGCTTGAAATCCTACAGTAAACATGGGGCGCCACCCACTAGAGAAAAGGGTCAGCATTATGGGTAAGGTTGGGGAAGGAAGAGGAACAGGATGGGAGAGGGAATGAAAGGACCAATGAGGTCAAGGTCCTGCCAGTGTGAACCAGCCAAGAGCAACAGCCCGTGGAGGAAGAGCCCTGGGGATCTCCATTCTGGAGTCCTGTGCCTCACCTGGGAGGACCCAGAATCACAGACACTCCTGATTTAGAGGAAGGAGGATTTCTCATATGGTGAGAGGTAAGGGTCTAAATTAATTAATTATCCCATTAGAATTTAAAAGTATTCAATTTTTTTTTTTTTTTTTTTGCCACTGTCGGCACTCTTGGTTGCCCATCCGGTTTGATTTCTGCCTTCTCCTTCTTCCTGTTAGATCCTGATTTTGCTCACGTAGTCACTCGATATCCTTGCCTCTCTTTTGACTGGAGCAAAGCTGCTCTGTCCCCAGCTCCCTCCAAGGCAAGTCCTGACTGGTCTGAGTTAATCATGACATGTCCATTCTCCTTATCAGAGATTGGGTAAAGGATCTAGCCTAAGCCAGCCACCACCGGCTGCCTCATCACTGCCCTAGGTCCAGAGATGGATGCATGGCCTAATCGGACCAATTGAACTGAAGGAAAGGACATACACCCCATGGCTGAAAGATTTTCTCTTCCTTCCACTAGACATGACCAAACAAACATGTTGTCCCAAAACTTATTTGTTTGGGTTGACAACTCCCTTTTGACAAAGAGAGAACAGAGTCTAAGGATAAAGCCAACATGAAGAGGAGGGTAGAGCTCAGAGGAAGATGGATTGGAGCCTTGATCACGTTATGCCTGCAGTCCGCATCACCTCACCACTTTCTGTTACACGAGATAAGGTATCCTGTGCCATTTAATCTAGTTAGAGTTGGCTTTTCGTTTACTTGGGATACCATATGAATTGGTTGTTTCTCCAGTCTCTGTTTAAATATTTTAATGATGACAAAAAAATCAGTACCCCATTCATAACTTTTTGGAAAGCCCTAATTGCCAGAAAGTCCTTTCTTATATTGAGTCGAAATGTCCCTTACTGTCAGATTCATGCATTGCCCCGACTTACACGAGATGGGACACGCAGGACAGATGCACCCTGAAGTATGGGTGGACACAGTGTGCTCGTGGAAAGCATGTTGCAAAACATCAGGCAGATCCAGGTTCATTTGCTGGCTTCCCCATTAACAAGCTGAGTAAGTCTGGGAAATATGACAATTTGTTTAATGGCCATGAACTATTGCCATCCAGTGTCCTCCTCCTCTGAATGTGACTTAGAGCTCCTCCCATCCAGAACTGGAGTGTTAATTCTCCACCTTCAATCTGGGCTGGCCTTGGGACTTGCTTGGCTAACAGAACAGGGCAAGAGTGATACTGGAGGGTAGTTTCTGTTTCTGCCCTGCTGTCTTGGGATGGTGCCCCACATCTGCCACACATGGAAATCTACATTGCAAGAAGCTGCAGGATGCGTGGAGGGCTGAGCGCTCTAGCCAACAGCTCCCAGCAGACGGCACACGTGAGAGTAGGACCATCATGGACCTTCAGCCCAGGGGACCCTCCAGCTGAAGAACTGTCCAGCCAACTGATAGAACCATGAGATGTTGTAAGTCACGGCCGGTGTACACCACCGGGTAGTTTGTCATCCAGCAAAGGCCGAGCAGAAGCAGGAACATGATTTCATTACACATCTTCTGTGTCTTTATTGTCAAAGGAAAAATAATACTTTATTTTTTACACGGTTGCTAGTGAGGATTAATTAATGCAAAATATGTAAAGTGCATACATCGCCAGTGCTGCAGTGGGGACACTGTAGGTGCTAAGTAAGAGGCAGCTCTCATGATTGCTGTTAATGCCAACTTTTGAAGTTAACACTTTCTTCACCCTTAGATTTTATTCTTTGAGGTTAAATCCCATGTCCTTTGACTTTACCTGGTTTGAGAAGCCTTTCTGGCCATTTACTATACTGGCCCCTTCCTAATTACCACCCACCCCCCACTTTATTACCATCTCTCCTAAAGTAGTATGACACGTGTGCTCTGATCATACCTCCAGTAATGGTGCCTTCCACGGAGCAGGTGCTGAAACACTGCCGTTCCTTTAATAACCCCATGCAAATCAGGGCTCCTTTTCTAGTTCTTCCACTTCCGCCGTCTGACATCCTGGTACCTGTCCATGATCCGTCTTCCAGCGTTCTAACTTGAGCGACTGCCAAGTCGGGCTTCCCACCTCGGAACTGAAGCAGGTGTTTTCTTGGAACTTAAACATGGGACTTAACAGTAAACCCAGCAAAATTCCTTTTTGTTAGTCTTAGCTTAGCACTGCAGCTGGCCACGCTCATCTTGCTTGGTCTTACATCTGTCATTTGTTGCTTCCCCTGGTGCGTCTTACCTGTTTTCTTAAGCCAGGAACTAAGAGACAGTGTTCATCAGTACAGACTCAGGGAAGGAGCCTCAAGGCACACCCCTCCACACCGTCTCTGGTCTCTGACCAGACATACTAGCAGACGTTACCGGTAGGGATCGCTTTCACATTGCTTAGCCCGTGATGCTGGTCCAAGGTGCCTGGAGGCCGTCCCGCCCCTCTCGCCCACGTGGGGGTCTATACGGGCGGTGTAGCTCTTCCCTGAAATCGAGACACACGTCCGGTCCTGCTGTCCTGAGAACGTTCTTAACTGAGCGGCCAGACCACAATCAGCGTCTTCTTTCTCTTTCTACCTGATCATAGAATATAAACCCTATTGATTCTACAAAATACCTTCCTAGGCCAACGGTCATGGATAACGCAGTAAACAATTTATCAGTTTCCGAGGCTTTTGTGAAGTCAAAGGCAAAGAAAGAAGGTTTTACCCCCGGAGAACCTTCACCTCGTCCTGATCCCCGGACATGTGCATCGCGGGGGTGCGACCAGGGCATCTCGCGAGCGCGGGTGTGCGAGCCGGGGGTCAGCTCCCAGCACGGCGGCAGTCTCTGACCCGCGGAGCGGTGGCCGGGGAGCAGGCGTGTGGCGGGTCCGAGCTCGGTTCCTGCAGCCCCGGCGCCGCGGGCACGCCCACTGCTGCACCATGGGCCGGTGCGGTCCTCCGGGGCGGTGCGGGGCCTCGGTGCAGCCGCTGTGGCTCACGGTGGCGGTGGCCACGGTGGGCGTGCGGACCTGGGTCCCTCGGGAGGGACGCCGACCCCGCGGACCCAGGCCCAGGGCGCCCACTCCCAGACTGAGGCCCCGGAGCCGGGCGCCGCAGGGGGAGGAGGCGTGGCCGGCCCTCTCGGCCAGCGCGCACGCGCGGCGGGAAGGGGCGGGGTGGCTCCCGAGCGCGCCTGCGCACCAGGCCACCCGCCCCTCCCGGAAGCGCCGCCGCCGCGCCACGTCCGCGCCGCGCATCCCGCCGCCGCCCACGGCCCGGACCCACCGACCGCCGCGGAGCGCCATGGGTCGCGCAGGCGCGCGCTCCGCCTCGGCGCTGCTGCTGCTGCTGGTGCTGCTGCGGGCCGAGCGGCCGCGGGGCGCCGAGCTCACCTTCGAGCTGCCCGACAGCGCCAGGCAGTGCTTCCACGAGGACGTGGAGCGGGGCGCCAAGTTCTCCCTGGACTACCAGGTGGGGCCGCGCCCCCTTGCCGGCCGGAGGGGCGCGGGCAGCGGCCGGCCGGGCGGGCAGCGCCGCAGGTGCACGGGGCCCGGGGCGCGGTCGGACCGGCCGCCGGCGCGCCCCGGGCCTCGTCCCTAGCCTGTGGGACCGCGGAGTCCCCGGTGTACCCATATGTCAGCGGGGAGGAGGGGGCTTCGGGTTCCTTCCCTGCCCCTCTCCGCGGCTGCGGGGGCCGCTGGGTGAGCGCAGAGCCTGCTGCCATATGCTGCCCACTTGCTGTCCAGTCTCCTCCCACGGACCTCGGGCGCGCGCAGGGAGCGGGTCTCGGGGCGGGCGTCTGCCCCTGAGGTTTGGTGGGCGGACTGAGTGGGAAGGACCCCCACGACAGCCGCCTGCCTGCTCGCAGACACCCCGGAGATGCAGTGGCCTGAGCCTCAGGAAGGAGGGCGGCCCTTCCGTGGGTCCTCGCTGTCCAGAGCCACCGAAAAAGCGGTCTGCTGGGGGACAGCGCGGTGTGGGATGGCCTCGGGGTCCCCGATTTGGCCGCTTACACTTCTCTGGGCACAACATATGAATTATGGCCGGGTTATCGGGCCCCCCAGCACAGTCCCTGCAAACTGACCGTTGTGAGCCTGAAGGGGCCTGGGAGGTCCTCTGGGCACTGCTAGGTCAGGAATCCCTTGTCAAGGAACGGTCAGCACAGTTTAAACGCCTCCAGCAATGGGGCACTGGCCACTAGGTAAATTCTCCCATCTGCACAAAGAGGAACTTCCAAAGTTTGGAAGCAGATGGAGGCCATTGACTGTGTCCCGCGATGGACCTTGGTTGTAGCCACTGACCACCTGTATGACACTGCTGTATGACATGTTTCTTTGGTTTCTCAAGCGAGTTTGAACTATGTAATTCCCAAGGACCCTCTCGCCTCTGATGGCCACTGAGTCTGTGAATTTGATCGGTAGTGACGCGAACATTCACTAGACCCACTCTGCAACCTGCTTGAGCTGGGAGCCTCAGTCTTCTCTTCTGTGAAATGGGAAGGATCAAGCTCCTTGCCCCTTTGCAGAACAAAGCCTTTCGGAGTCAGGCAGTCAGGGATTCAGATCTTAGCCGTCACTTTCAAGCATCGTGACCCTGGCTGACTTCCTCGATCTCTCTCAGCCTCAGTTTACTCCCCGGTAAAACAGAGTGTCCTAGCACCTGCTTTAGAAAGCTGTGAAGATTACATGAAAAAAACCAAGTTTGTCAAGTCTGATCACGGTGTCTGGTTGGCATTTCATACCAGCGGCTGCCCCGCCGGTCACAGCAGACTGTGGGTGTCTTTGTGGTTGTAGGTCATCACCGGAGGCCACTACGATGTCGACTGCTACGTGGAGGACCCCCTGGGGAACACCATCTACCGGGAGACCAAGAAGCAGTATGACAGCTTCACCCACCGGGCTGAGGTCAAGGGCGTTTACCAGTTCTGCTTCAGTAATGAGTTTTCCACCTTCTCTCACAAGACCATCTACTTTGATTTTCAAGTGGGTGACGAGCCCCCCATTCTCCCAGACATGGGGAACAGGGTCACAGCTCTCACGCAGGTGAGTGGACATCGGCCAGCCCCGGGCCGGCTCAGCCTTTCTCGTCCTGGCTCGGCCGTACTCAGTGTCAGCCTGTCCTTGGCCCCGCTCCTGGGCTGGGAGGCTCAGGGTCGGCTTCACCTCTTTGCACATTCAGTCTTCAAGGACACCGTCCCCTCTGAGCCCCTGCCCGGCCCGCGGGATCCCTGCAGCTCCTTGCTCTGGTGTTCCTGGGTTCCCGCTCAGGCTTGTGCGCAGCGCCACTGAGGAAAGGCCTTGCCGAGGCCCCTCTGCTCACGCCATCTGCGTCGTAAGGACCAAAGGCGTGTTCGCTCGGTAATGTGAGCCGCTGCGGCAGCTACGCCCTGAGGGTCGATGGCCTAGCATAAGTTTTTTGTCCCTCGGGTGATAAATCTGGGTTGGCGGGGAGCTTTCGTGCAGGGACTGATCAGGAATTGGGGGTTTCTCTTTCCTGTCCCCTGTCTGCTCTCCCTCTGCCTCTGGCCACCAGAAGAAGGGGCAGCGAGAAGGCCTCACCTGTTTCTTAGATGCCCTGGCCCGGGGGAGCAGGCTGGACGGGTTGCTGAGCTCAGATGTTGTAACAGGCCGAGGAGGTGCCCGTTAGACGCTGGGAGATCCCAGTGAGTGGGGCGGAGGCTGCTGTCACAGGACGGGGTGCTCCCAGGGGTCTGTGAATCCCACCACCTGATCACCCTTGGGTCTCCCGTGGTGCCCACACTAGGTCCTGAGGGACACCAGGAAGGCCATGTTAGTGCCCGTTGCCCTCTGGGAATGGGCCTCCTTCCCTGCACAGATCTTATCTGAGACTTACGGTCACTGCGGCTCCCTTTCCAGCACCCTGGTGCCCGTCTAGGGCTTCTGGCCTCTGACCCAGGCCTTGACCATGGTGCCTTGTGTGGCATCTCTGATGTGTCTTGTGGCTTGGGAGTCCTCCCTGTCCCTCCTCCTTTTGCCTCCCTCCGTTTGTGGTGATTCCGGAGCCTGGGAGGAGGCTGGAGGGGCAGCCTACCCAGCTGAGCCCTGCGGCCAGGACCCAGGGCTCAGGGCGCATCTGCGACGGGTAAGCCCAGCGTGTGCAGAGTTTCTGCATGAGCCTGGGACAGATGTAAATGGAGAGTGGACTTCCAGCCTGGAGACCCAAACAGGCCCTTTCCTCTTGTTTGTAAACAATGTCTGTGTGTATTTACGAGTACTAAATGCATGTGTGGGTACGTAGGCCCACACACATGCAGCCACATGTACGTGCGTGTGTCCCATCTGTCCCCTGATTTCGAGGATGACCGTGCCTGGGTCTGCTCTTGCCCCTCAGAGCGCGGCCCCTTTCAGACCGACTCCCAGTGGCCCCTCGCGGTGTCCCGGCTCCTGGAGGCCTTGCAGAGTGGGGTTCTCAGCCTGCCGTGGCAGCAAAGGGTTGACCCCGAGGCCTTTACCGTGAGCCCCCCCACCCGCGCTCCTCCCCACACATCCCTGAGCCCGGTGGGCCTCCGTGTGCCTCACCTGCCTTCTGTCGGCCCGCTGCCCTCCTTCCCCGCCCCTCCACCAGGCAGACGCAGAGCGCCGGCCTCCCCGTGTGCCGCCTGGGGCCGCGGTGGCTGCACGTGGACGCGTCCCTCCTGTTTCAGCGCCCAGTGTGACCGCCTCCCTCTGCCTGCCCAGATGGAGTCGGCCTGCGTGACCATCCACGAGGCCCTGAAGACGGTGATCGACTCGCAGACGCATTACCGTCTCCGCGAGGCACAGGACCGGGCCCGGGCCGAAGACCTCAACAGCCGTGTCTCCTACTGGTCGGTCGGCGAGACCGTCGCCCTGTTCGTGGTCAGCTTCAGCCAGGTGCTGCTGCTGAAGAGCTTCTTCACGGAGAAGCGGGCCGGCCCCCGGGCGCCGCACTCCTAGGCCCCTGCGTCACGGGCTCCTGCCGGGCCCGAGGGCGACCGTGGGCTGGGGCACCCCGCTGCTTTCTCCCCGTACCCCGGTGGCGGCGCCCTCCAAGCCTGACAATCCAGAGGCTTCTAGCCACATTCCGTGGGGAACACCGAGAAAAGCGTGCTCTTGGGCTCGGGGGGCCTGGTCTGGCTGGAGGAGGAACCCCGGGTACCCAAGCCTCTTGGGGCAGTGCAGGGACCCCCTCTGTCCATGGTGCGTGGGTTGTCGGGCCTGTGTGTGTCCTGTCCTCTGTGGACAAGGAGGGGCCGTCGTCTGGTTTGTCTCCGTGGAGCTCACTGGGTCTGTGGAGACAGGCCCTAAGGCGGCTTTGCAGAGACCCCCGCTGCAGGTGAGCGGCAGTGTCCTCTGTGGAGGCAGGAGCCTGGAGGCCAGGTGCCCATGGTGAGCCGTGGGTCTCCCGGATGCAGCCCTCTGGTCAGTAAAAGCTAAGCAGGAGCTCCATGCAGACCCGTGCCTTTCTCTGTCTGCCCTGGAGGAGCGCGCGGCTTCCCAGGGAACGGGGTGTCCACAGAGAGTGTGCGGGAGAGCAGGTGCTGCCCTCGAGGCGTGCGTGGACACCCGCACGCGGCCTGGGTTCTGCTGCCCTCCTCCCGGTGGAATGACAGTGGTGACATGGGGACTGCTCATTCTCTCATCTCAGACTCCAGAGGTCACTGTTGAAACAGCTGATCATCATCGAGTCCAAACCGTGCGCCAAGCACGGGAAGGGACAGAGCTGTCAGCAGCTGTCCTGGGCTGTGTCCACGGCAGCCACACTGTGCTCTGTCAAACCTGGGTCAGACTCTGTCCCCCCGGTCAACATCTCCCGTGGCTCCACGTGTTCTCAGGTCCTGGCCGCGTCCTTGCTGGGGGCCATGAGGTTGTGCCTCACCGGGCTGCTGGCTGCTTGGCTCCGTGTCCTCTCATCCCTCCGCCCAGGTCTCCTCACTATTCCTGTAACACACCAGGCCATGCCTCTGCCCCAGGGTCTTTGCACATGCAGTGTCCTATTAGAACGCCCCCTCCCTCTCCCTGATAACCTGCGCAATCGCCCCTTGTCTCATGGCTAGATGTCACTTTATTGGCGAGTTAACCCTCACTGCTCTGTTCAGGATGGCACCTGCCCACCTGCCCCTGCCCATCTCCCTATCCCTGCTTTACTTTTCAGCTACGCATCACCACTGACACGTACGTTTACTTGTCTGTTTGCTGTCCTTCTTATCCCCTTGGATGTGAGCTCCACGATAGAGCACGTGGGCTGCTACGTCCCTGGTCCCTGGCATGACCCCTGCTACGCACTAAGGTCTCCATGCAATTGGGGGCCAAGCCAGCAGCCTTACCTGTCAGCAGCTGGTGCCGGCCAAGTGTCTCTGAAGGAGGTCCCGGAGACCTGACGCCTGCCCTGAGGGTCCTCTTAGGAGTGATCTGAAAGCCAGAGCCGCCTGGCAGTGTCGCTAATGTGTCGTAGACAAGGGAGCAGGGGACGTGTCATGTGGGAGAGACCCTCCATGAGGCTTGCTAGCTTAGTGGAGAGAAATGCTGCTTATTTGTTCATATGTGTTTGAGGGTTTTTCTTCTTCCTTATTTTAAAAATTAATACCCTCCTGGGACGCCTGGGTGGCTCTGTCATTAAGCGTCCGCCTTTGGCTCAGGTTACTATCCCAGGATCCTGGGATCCAGCCCCTCGTGGGTTCCTCGCTCAGCGCGGCGTCTACTTGAGATTCTCCGTCCTTTGTCCCTCCCCCAGCTTGCACGCTTGCTCTGTCTCTCAAATAAATCTTAAGAAATACCCTCCTCGCAATGGGAAGGAGAGAGGGTGCGGGGGGGCTGGAAGAGGGCCACTCCGAGGATGGACCAGGCCTACGTGGTGGAGCCTCCGTGAAGATCCTGACGGCACAGGGTTCATGGAGGTTCTGGGCTGGTGAACATGCGGGGGTGCCGCGTTGGGGGGTGCCTCTGGGGAGGGCACGGGCACTCTGCACCCCTCCCAGGCCTCATCCCACGCCTCTCCCATCTGGCTGCTCACCTGCCCCGTCATCCTCTCCTTTTATGCCAAACCCGTGTCAGGAGCTGAACTACTTCCCGAGCTCCGGGAGCCGCTCCAGCGAACTAGTGGACCTGGAGAAGGGGGCCGTGGGCGCCTCCAATCTCTAGCTGGGTCAGAAGCAGCCAGGACAGCCTGGGGTCGTGATGGCGTGGGATGCGGGGAGAGTCTGGCAAGACCGGGCCCTTGGCCTGTGGATGTGACGCTGTCCCCGGGGGGAGGACAGAGGCGAGTGACGCTGTCGGACGGCCGGCTGGTGCCGCGGAGTTGCTCGGTGGGGAGCTGCCCGCCGTCCGAGGTGCCGGGAGGGTCTCGTGTGAGAGCGCAGCAGACGCGACACGGCAGGAAGCCAGGACGTCCACCAGCTGCGGATGCATGCGGGCACCTTCGGCGACAGCCAGGCCGCGGGGACTCAGCTGGTGTGGAAGGAGAAGCTCCCGGCCTTTCCCGCCAGAGCCGGCGAGGCCCCCGCGCCCCGGAGCGGCCCCTGCAGGAGCTCATCCGCGGACGCGACGGGATGAGCTGGAGGTGGGGGAGTACTGGGGGACACTGAAGGTCCTGTTTTACTAGAACCTCCCTCCCTTGAAGACTCTTGCAAAGGACCGATTTTCTCTAACGGACAGTGCTTGCTTTTTAGGCCCAGATACGAACGGCAGTCGCTGGATAGTCTGTCGTCCTCACGGGGAGGCTTGGCCGCTGGCCTGGGGCGGGACGGGCCACTCCCCAGACAAGTCCAAGCCTGCACCCCGCTCCCAGCCATCCCCGAGCTGCGAGGGGGACAGCGGTTGCCTCCTGCAGCCCCGCGTTCCAGGGATTCAATCTCGGTCCTGGTTGAGGTTCTGAGCAAAAGCCTCTCATGGTGTTTCCTTCTGGGCTTTCTCAGTGTGTGACACGCAGCAGGGAGAGGCTTCATGTCCTCCTTGTCTGAATTTCCAGTCCATCTTCCAGTCACGGGGAGAACGGTGGCTGAGGTGAGGCCCATGGGCCTCCGGGTCTGCCCGGCCGTCACCACACCGCGACGCACTCTGTCTTGGCTTTAAGCCCCGTGCAGCCCCATCCTTCGTATTTCAGGAGAACCCCAATCTCTGCAGAGCCACGGGCCGGTTGCGCGCTAGGACTTCACCTGCAGCAGACCCGCAGGGATGCCACCCCCTGTGACGTCTCTTTTTGCAGAACTGTAAGACCACGGATGGAACGTCCGTGGCCAAACCCACATGCACGCGTGTTCTCACGCAGCTGGACGACAGGTTCCGGACAAATTTGGGGAGCACCTGCTTTTCTAGCCCTGGTAGTGGTCACGGGCTCAGCTCCTCCCTGCTCCCTGGGACCCGCCCCACGGGCCTGCCGGGTTAGTGGGGAGGCGACCACCCTTCGGGTCACGTAGCTCTAGACTCAGCCTTTCCACTCGCAGAACTGCCGGGCGGTGGCTCTTCCCGATGCTGACCCAGCTCGATGCAGTTTTCCTTCTGCCGGTTTGTGTTTCTCAGTCCAATATTTGGCCACAGGAGAAAACAGGCTTCACATATGGCTTGCTTCTTCACACTCCCTGTCACATCCCGGAGAAATCCTCCAAGAACGCGATCAGACTGTTTTCATCGTTTGTAGGTCTATTTTCGGCTTTCGATGGTGCATAGGAACCAATTCTGGCTCAGCCGAGCGTGTTCCAGCCAGACTCCTGGTTCCCGAGGCTCCCAAACCCCTGGGTTTGAAACCCGCTGAGCATAAGCAACGGTAACAGAATGTTGTCAAGCGAAGCGAGACAGGGCGGCATCCAGGTAGCCTCTCCAAGCATCGTCTGGCTTAGAACCAGTCTGGTTCACTGATGCGCGCTCTCCCCAGCGGTCAGAAGCTGGAGAAACCGTGTCCCACTGAGTGCGTTTCCGAGACGATCCCGAGTCAGGAGCGGGCTTGTAGATGACACGTGGGTTTACAGAGTGAGCTCTCAGAAGAGGTCATGGTGTCCCAGTAACTGCTAAGAGAAGGGTCAGGGGCTCCTGATGCAAGAAGGCAGACCCCTTCCTCGTCTCCCTCCCACCCCCTGTCCCGTGAGACCAACCCAAGCAGATGAGAATGAAATAGACTTTAAGTCCCTGAAACCAGAGAAAGGTCACAGTCCTGAATCACTAGCTACAGGGAATGGCTGTCAGATTGGTGATACCTGAAGCGGGGAGATGCCCAGAGCGGTTGTAGCAGGTTGAGACTTTCCTAAGAGAAGGAGGCGTTGTCCTGAATGGCCAGGCTTCGGGGCCTGGAATGGTACTTCCTGGGGCTGCGTGTGGGCAGCAGAGGGGGTGCCCACTCTACTCTCCTCCCAGGGACGGGAAAGGTAGGATTGGAGGAGAAGCTGGTCAGACGGGTGGGCAGGAGACTTGGCAGGTGGAGGGTGGAGCCCCGAAGGGGAATCTGCCGTGTAGCCAGGATCATGCCAGATCTGTCCCTGGCAGTCCTGTGGCCGGCCGGATGTCACTGGAAACTGCTTTCTCCTGGGTCATGCTGAGGACAGAGGGACCGCCCAGTGGAGGCTTGTCCTGGGGGAGCCGGCGAGCAGGCACCGGAGGCCAGGCTCCCCATGCCACTTCCCCGCACACTTTTCCGGCAGGCCGGCGGCCACGATGTTTGGAGCAGGAGTGGCCATCCCGGACTGGTGTGAGAGCAAACCAACAGAAGGCACATGGAGGGCAGATCTGGGGAGGGTTACCCCAGGACACAGAACAGCACAAACACCCATTTCCCCCCATAGTCTTAAAAAAAAATAGGGACGAGGCAACAAGGTTCAGAGCAGAGTTACAAGAAATCATAGACGAGGTTCTGTTGCGATGGAAAAGGTGAGGAAGAGCCGCCAAGATTCCGGGGAATGTGGACGAGGAAGAAACCATCCCAGAAGGGGTCATGGGTTTGCAGATGGCCCGGGAAGAGGTGCCGCCAGGATCCCAGGGTGGGAGGCTGGAGGAAAGCCTGAGAGAGTGCCCCAGATAGAGCAGACAAGGAACCCAGAGCTGGGCGT